CTACACGTTTTCTTCTACGGTGCACTGTTCTCGAATTATCGCTATTTTAAACATGTAATATACGAATATGCACTCTTACGTGGCCAGTATGCATCATTGGGTTAACAATTTGAACAAAAAACATTAGAACATACAGGGGTGTTGTGGAATCTGATAGTTGTCGGAATCAGAATTGAAACTGATCAAARAAWAGCAGTAGGTGTCATGAATTCCGAYGTTATTGGTTTGATATTCGAAACAGAATTTTTATYGGTTTTGGGTGTCACCGAAAMCAATYTKATCGGTTTTGCTGTCAGAAACAAATCAAGAAGATAGTCGCACACAGATTTGAAATGTATGTATGTTAAGAAATCAAGTTATTTTATTGTTACGAATGGATGTATCTTTATTTCTATAGGACAAAACACGAAAAGTCTTAATTATTGAGTTTTGGAAAAAATGCGGATATTTAAGGGGGAACCTGCTTTTTTTGGGAGGGAAGGAAATAGTTGATTAAAGCGAAATATCTAGGGTTTATAGCTATATATTTTAACATCACCCGAAATTTGTTTCAATATGAATTCTTTGATATTCTGCCTTAGGGAAGCAATTGCTCGATACATCTCGAGGGTGCATTTGTCGGACGGCGGACAGTATGCAGGACGCAATTTCTATAGGAAACAAAAAAAATTAAAAATATTCATATTTATTAAAAACGTATGTTCAAGTTAAACTAGGAAAATTTCAAAAAAAGTCTAAAAATCTAAAAATTTGAAAAAAGTGGTGTTTGACTAAAAAAATGTTACTTTATGTTGTTTAAACATATGTTCAAATTTAAATTTTCTTAGTATATTTCAGTTTAAATATAAGATAATTTAATGTCAACGATAATAAACTTTGCCACAATTTCATTCRAGGTTTAGTTTTTTTTTTATCCTGAACGCTAWTTAAGAAATATCGYAAAACTGAAAAACCGAGAAATYGCGCGTCAAAGTTTTCGCTTTCTGCTCAAGCGCTCATATATGTATCTGCTAGACGCTCGGTCACTATTTCCMTTCTWGCTTCGACAATATTTCGAGTTCCCATCTATAACTTTGGGGTAATATTCTTAGATAATTTTTAAAGAAATTTAAGCAAAGAAGAATT